TGAAAAACCCAATGAAAAAAAAGGGGCATTCGTAAACCGCAGAGCACCACCTACTGTACACAACACTGAAGTTCAGGTCTCCGTATATTTATTTAAACCTAAGTCTAGAGTCAAAGTGTTGGTAGTTGGTCCTACATGACTGTCCTACTGGTGTCAGTGTAGGGCTGTAGGAATTTTTTTTTTTTACCTTTTACGATAACGTATTGATATTCTGCAATACTGTATGAATATTTTATTAACAAATATTCAAATATTCTCTGTTCCACTTTAAGTACCCTGATGTTACGGAGGTTTTACTACAATTACATTGTTTAAAAAACTCAATACATGGTCCTGCCTATGGTATCGCAATATATCGTATCGTTGCCCCTGTATTGCGATATGTATCGTATCAGCAGATGTGAGAACCATGTCGTAGTAACACACGCGTCTGTTCTTCTGTTCCAGACACGCCTCCCTGTCTGTCGAGGTCACGGGTGATTCTGGAAGGTTAGTCTCCGCGGGCTGTGGACGAGACCGTCCCTGTCGCATGTGGAAATCAGCGTCCTTCGGGTACAGTAAGACGTTTGTTTCCTCGCTCTCCACCAGGTGTCGCTCCAAATCATCTTTGTGTCTTTTTACCATCGTGGTTTCCTGATGTTGACAACAACGTTATAAACAAAGTGTGTGAGTGTAACCAGTGACCTGTACATTTGACCTCAGTTTGACCCTGGTCTGATGGAGACTGGACTGCTGGTCCGTTCATCACATGGCCCTAAAACACCTTCCTCTCTGCACTGGTACTTGGTCACATGGTCTGTTTTAAAGAGGAGCCTTTTGATGAATGGGACCATGTGACGTTGGTTGTTTTAAGAACTCACAAACTCTGCAGATTCCACAGGATTGATGATGGTCTCGCTGATTTATATCCTATCGTTTGGGAGTTTTCACACAGGGCTCGGAGCTAATACGTTAAATGGATCATGACTGTAAACACAACGATGGCTGTGAACGCAGGTTGATTGTTTTCCTCTGGAGCTGAGCAGCATCGTGTTTGCTTTCCTGTCTCACCCCCACCCCCGCCTCCCCCCGCACACACATACACACACCCACATGCTGTGTGCTGAGCTAATTAGCAGACACTGACGGTGCCACGTGAACATGCCCCCCAACACACACCCCGCGTTGTTTTGATGTTTCAGATTTATCTGCCTACGCCTCCAGAGGGCGTCGTCACATGAACCCTTTCATGGTTTTGTGTTTTTAACCTGAGACGGTGAAGAATAACTCACTGGTCCTGTCTGTTCGGTTGGTTTCTGTGAAGATGTAAAAGAATTAGTCATAATTAGTCATCGTCGTCGTTAACTCTGGTTCTGGACGGTTGTTGTTGTTGGGAGTGTGGGCGGAGTCCCGGTTCTGGACGGTTGTTGTTGGGAGTGTGGGCGGAGTCCCAGTCCCAGGAGTCACGGGGTGTGGGCTGGGTTACACCCTGGTCCATCACAGGGTGAAGTCTGACTGTAGTGTTTCAGTCGACCGTGTCAGTTCTCTCGTTGTTTGCATCACTTCCTCTGGTAGACAGGAAGCTCACATGACGAGCAAAGACAAAGGTCAACGTCCAGACGTGGCTGCAGGAAGTTCCAGAGATCAGATGGATGGACGGCAGGACAGCAGAGGAATGTTCTGGAAACAAAGGTTTTCACAGTGTTTTCAGTGGAAAAATGTGGAGGTTACTGACAGAAGTGGAGTCTGTGTCAGTCATCGTCGGTCGTCGTCAGTCGTTGTCGGTCGTTGTGACCCCGTCTGTGTGATTGAAGAGTGTGTTTTTGTTTGTTCGTTGCCTACAGGAATGGAGAAAGTCAGATATTATTCATGATGACATTTGTGTCCAGGCCTCGGTTTTTTGTGATTTTGTGTTTTTTTTTTTGTTCTGTAATAAATGAGCAGATTTAGGTCACATGATAAAGGAGGTGGTTCAAACCCTGGCATTTGTTGGATTAGTGTGTTCTCCCAGTGTGTGTGGCTACAACCAGGTTATGGATGAGTTTAATTCCTCACTGTCGTGTGAGTCCGGACCCACAGCCGCTGCGTTGGCCCCGTCCTGGTCAGGAAGTTGAAACAGTAACAACAAACAAACCCAGTTAAAGGTGGAGTTCGCAATTAATGGACAGAAACGACCTCCGTCAACATCCTGACTGACGGAGTCGCTCCACGCTACATATATATATACATGCATACATACGTATATAAATATATTTGTGGTATTTGCTCATCATTCCATTGTCCTGTCAGGGCTTGGATTGAAACATCCACCAATAGGAAGCCAGTACCTTTTTTTTTTTTTTTTTAATCTTGGCTTCAAACTTTTTTGAACAGCAGCCACACAGGTGCACCGTATCTCCAATCTTCCCCATTGGTGGGGGTGAGAGCGGGGGTTGTGGTGGGGGGTGTCATTACTTGAAGTCTCCAACAGGAGGTTTTCCAGTCCTGTCTCCAACAGGCAGCTCTGACACAGTGAGAAATATTCAGTGTACGCTGTAGATAACCTGGTTGATCTGTAAACAGTAGTAGTACTTCTGTGTGTACTGTGTACTGTGTGTACTGCAGCTACTGTACTTACAGCCCGCGGCTGTCGTCAGGTTCAGGCCTGTCCAGACTTCAGACCATCATAGGGTCAGCAGCTACGGTTTAAGGAGAACTAGGTGTGTATCATGGGTACGCTCTCCTGACTGAAGTCCTTTCATGATTTTATCTCCTGAAATCTTCTTCTTCTTCTTCTTCTTCTTCTTTTTTTTTTGCTCACTCAAAAAACATCTGCGCTTCTTTTCTCTTCATAAATCATGGCACTTCCTGTCTCGGCCTGTCGTGACATTCTTGTCCAAAGGAGATTCCTGCGTTCTTCAGGTTGAATAAATAAACCAAACGTTCAGCCACCGTCGTTCTTCAGAACCTCCTCCTCATTAGAACAGACGTCAGGTTTGAGTAGATGAAGAACGGTGCTTCAGGGAAGGGAAGGTAAAGCAGAGAACAGTGAAATATAATTCTTCTTGTTACACATTTTACACACACACACACACACACACACACACACAGTTGATGTCGAGGTCATAAATCTGTTCCAGTGTGACCACTGGAACAGATTTGAACCGGGAACCCTATTCCAGGTATAAATAATTCAGATGTTTTATGGTCCTCATTAGGGTGAAGTACTTTTTTCAGAGCAGACCTGTGATTATCTCCAGGTTCTCAAACAGTACCGTCCCCGGACCCCCCCGCCTCACCCCCGCCCCACTCCCTGCCTGCTGTATGTTTTCTTGCAGGAGCTCGGAGGCAGGAAGTGAGCTCATTAACCCCAATATGGTGGACAAGTGGCACACGAGCAGGAAATGAACCAATAAAAACGGCTCGTTTGTGGACAGCACAGAAATGTCCTCGACAATTTAGGTTTGTTTGTTTGTTTGTGTAAAGCTGAGCTAGAAAACACAGGCAGAGAAGAACACTGCTGTGTGTGTGTGTGTGGGGGGGGGGAGAGAAGAACACTGCTGTGTGTGTGTGAGGGGGGGGGGTGAATTTACCCCTAATTAAAAAAAGCACTTCATTTGTACGCAGATGATTCTAATTTGACTAAAGTTTATCAGACAAAGTTAACACAGATATAACAGGTTACTTCAAACGACTCTTTACTCACTTGTTTTAGTTCACACACCCTCCTTTTTAATTTGACCTTGGCCCCCTGCAGGTAGACTGGAGAATCAGGAAGTAAACAAAAGAATCAGCAGCAACATTTAAATACAAAAAAAAAAAAATCTTATTTTGGACAAACTTCAAACCTTGGCCAGATGGTACTTTTAACATTTTTTAATTGATATCAACAAAGTAGAACTGCAGTACAAACAAAGTAGAACTGCAGTACAAACACAGTATAACTGCAGTACAACGATGCAGTGAGATGAGTAACTCTGTGATAAAGTAAATAGTAAAACTACACAAACATCGTCCTTTAAATAGTTTTGTGTAGTTTTGAGACATTTCTTCAGACTTAGTTGCTTGTTTTTGTCTGAGATCTGGCAACCTTGGCCATAGACACTGTTGTATGGACTGAGGAGGACATTTTCTTTGGGAGTTTATCATTTCCTGTGTGTTTGTGTCGTTTAGTAGGGCACCGGTTTGAATCCCTCCTCTCTCCTTCGTTCCTGCCGGTAATAAAAAGTCAAGATTTTACCACATAGAAAATTGCAGCAATTATTTAACAGCCTTATGAAACGCCCGGCTCCTGTTTTATCGTCACATCCCCCTAAGAGTTAATTACAGGCTCCACGCTGGGCTGTCAGCCTGGATCAGCGGGAACCTGGAGATTTAACTCCTCAGGGCGTTCAGTAATGGAGGAGACGCTTCTGATCATGTGACGCTCACTTCACCGCCTTTTTACATCTGATCCGGTCGGCAGAGGATGGAGTGTTTTAGTGTGGACGAAGACGACGTCAACGAGGCTAGAACAGAACAGAACAGAACAGAAGTCACATCCGTCACTGAAACGTCACTGTATCGTCACTGTAAAGTCAGACACACTTTGACTTTTGCACATTTATTTCTAAAATCCATTCCAGATTTAGGAAAACTCCACTGATGATGGACAGGACTGTTTGGTCTCTGTCCAAGGTGACGTCCATTGGTTCACCTGGTGCTGACAGTAATGACCTGCTGCTGTTACAGCGCCCCCTGGCTTTACCTTTTTTCCTGTGTTTATATACACTGTATATAGTATTGTGTAAAGGTGTTGGTCAGAGGAACAGGTTTTTAATCTGTGGCTCAATCTGTGGCTCAATTCCTGGTTCATAAATTTCATAAATTGTTTCTGTACCTGAGCTCAGATGTTACAGATGATCTGTGACGGGAGGAGGTGGATGATTGCTGCTGCTGCTGCTGCTGCTGCTGCTGCTGCTGCTGTAGAGTCCCCTTGTGTATGGAGGCAGGGGGGTCCGTGGAGGAGGGGAAAGGGGGGCAGCGGAGCAGATGAGTGGAGGATTAGGATGGGATTTCTTTTTGGTCCGGCTCTATAATGAGGATGCAGTAAATGAAAGCAGCAGAACCTGGAGCTGCTCCTCATTACTCCACGAGGAGTGTCGGCGTCACAGTGATGGCATAATAAAACTCTCCATCGTCAGGGCGTTGACCTTTGACCTGATACTCACAGCCAGTCATTCATAATTCATCCATGTTTCTTTCCTACATTTGATTAAATCTGAGCTGTTCATGAGCCAAGGCACAAACCAGTCAACTCAGTACTAACCAGTACTACTCAGTACTAATCAGTACTACTCAGTACTAATCAGTACTACTCAGTACTAATCAGTACTATTCTGTACTACTCAGTACTACACAGTACTTTAACGATGACTCATGTTCTTAATGGTAATGAAGTCTAAAGTACAGACCACCCTGACTGGAGCAGAACCAGAACCCTGTGGTCAGAGATGGTACTACCACTGACCTCCTCTGACACTGCGTGGTCATCTCGTGGTCACTCTCCTCTGGACCATGTTCCGGTTCTGAGTTTGTTTTTTTTTGTTTTTTTG